TCTACCGTGCGCTCACCGTGCGGTCCCGCTCCCGCTGCTCCCGGTACCGCGGTAGCGCCCCCTGGCGGCCGCCGCCCATGGCTGCAGCGGCACCGCAGCGCCCCCTGGCGGTCCCGGCGCGACACTGCGTGGGGAGGGCAGTCATCGATTAACGCTACAAATCAGCGCGGGGGCTGAGCCAGGGCGCTCTGCAGCAATTTAAAGTAGGTGAGACTTAACGGCAGGATTAAAAGTCGGCCCTGGCCCATCTCCTCTGGTTGCAGACTCCATTCTCCCTGCCATTTCCTCCCCAGCCCCACCTGACAGCATCCACAGGCCTCCACCCGTTCTGGTTTGATGCGAGGGTCCCAACGCTCCGGGCTCTCCCCCAGGAGACAACACCGAGGGGATCGCCTTCCTTCAGGCATCTTCAGCTCCAGCAGATCTTGCAGCCGTTGAGGCTGCTCCCGGGAGGAGGTTCTGGTGACTTGGGCTTAGGGGTCTTCTACAGGGTCTTGGGTTTTCATCCCAGCGTTTCAGCTCACGGAACCGTGCAACTTTTCAGGCTCTTCCCAACAGCCATTTAGCAGAAAATGTTACAGCCACAACGTGGGCTCGGCAGAGGACCTGAAGACACAGCAGACGGCAGCTACTCCAGGCAGAGGAGACCAGCTCCACATTGATCCCACAACTCAGATACAATTTAGCTTCAAGCAGCGTATGGATAACCCTCTTACCCACCTTTTTGGGTGAATGCTGGCACAGGCAACGCCACCCAACACAAAAAGGGAAAAACCAGGCATTACCTTGCAGCACAGCAATCCTTCCACAGCATCAAGAACAAGTGACATTCAAGTTGAGAGCAAGACTTGTTTTTTCAAGACGGCTCAGCTCATGTTCCTCCCAGCACCACCACAGTGTCCGCTCGAGCTGTGCCCCCAGAGCCGGGCACCGCAGCCCCCGCAGCCCCTTGGGGTGCAGGGAATCCCTCCCAGGACCAGGGAGCCCCAAGGGACCAGCCTGCACCCAGGGTAGTGCCTCCCCGGCTGCATGTGCCATCACCAAACCACGTCGTGTCCTCGCCTTTCACGGCTTCGCAGGGCACTGGAAGGGTTTCTCACCGTGTGTCCTCTTCAGCCCAGGTCCCAGAGAGGAGTTCATGCAGCCACGGCAAACCCGAGCTCAGCCACTACCCCAAAAAACACTTCAACCAAAGGAGGTGACACTGTGTGACTCCGGCGTCCCACGCCTCCTCACTCACCCGCAGCAATTCTCTGGGAAAAAAAGCATTTTCTGTACAGCAAGAGCTGAGCAGTGCTCTACAGCGACCTGCGCTCAAGAGAATTAGGGACAGGGATAAATGCTGCAGACATCAGTAGTTTATTGGTATGTTTAGTCAAAACACATTCAGAATGGAAACTTAAAAGTAAAAATACTTTCCACCTGCAACAATTAAACTAGAATCTACGAGCATATAATGCTTGACACGTTACAGCAATGAAGATGGAAATCCACGGGCTGGGATACCTACGGAAGCCAGGATGGTCAGCCACGTCTGTCCAAAGAGAACCGTAATGACAAACACTCCCACCATCCACCAATCAGCGACTAAAGTAATGGTCAGTGAACCCCTTCCTTGGCTCTATCGGTACATGGACTGTCCAGGGGTGGAGAACACGAACTGTCCCCCTGCACGCCTCCCGGGATGACGCTCCAACCGTCCTTCATGTCACTCAGACAAGCAGCAAGCCAGACAGCAGAATGGCTCAGTAGCTCTTTTTAATACTCTGGGTTTTGTTACTGAGATTATTCCCAGTGCCATTGGCCACGGAAATGGATTAGGTGGCAGCAAAACACCACAGCACTACAAAAGGGAAATAACAAAACAAAACAAAACAAAACCAAAAAGGCTACACAAAACACACTGGTGGCAAACAAACTGCTCACTGATGCCAGCAATTTGTCCCAAGGCTTCAAACCTAATCGTGGTGCTGTGTGGAGCTGTTCAAGTACTACAGATTTCCAGGTAACAGCTGGAAATGCAAGACCTTCAATGAAAAACTGAAATACAAAAATGGAAACTGGGAAGAAATGTGGCCCGGAAAAAAAAACCACCACAAGCGTATGAAAATAGTGCAAGACTTACCATGGAACACAGAAGCCCTGGAACCTGGGAGAAACAGACAGAGGCCACTGCACTTTGCCAAACGTATGGGAAAAGTACGTGCAAAGTCTGCCAGGTGGCTCCAAAGCAGGCAGAGGGATTGCTCTGGCCCCGTCTGCTCTCGCTTCGGATGGCACCTGCTCTGCTTCAGCTCCCCCGGGCCTAGAAGCAGCTTTAAGTGGTCACACTTCCACGCAGACCCACACACAAACACCCTCCCCGCCTGCCCCCAGGCCCCGCGTCCAGCCGATGGTCCGGAACGTCACCCGGGGACACACCTCCCACCGGAGCCCCCGGCACAGCCAGGAGGGGGATGTCTGCCCATCCTCCTGCCCAGAGCCACGCAACTGCCACCTTCAGCTGGGAGTTATGTGCAAAATGAGTACGAGTATTTTTAAAAAGTGCAACTGGAAAATGCAAATACTTAAGAGCTGCTGATTTGTTCTCTGAAAATTGCAGTATCCTCGTTTGCTAAGCTCACCCTCCCAAAGGATGCTCGGTTCTACCTATGGCCAGAGGCGTTCACCGTTCCTGACTGACTGCTGAGATTCATGCCCAAGAGAGATCAGAGATTTCAACTCCGTTTCCTTCAGCTCTGACACTGATTAAAGAGAAGAGACAACCTGGAGACTACTCGGATGCCTTCTTCCTCCCTTCCCCCCCCTACAAAAAACCAGGCAAACTTGTTAATTGAAGAGCAAGGTGGATGATCGTTTGAGCAACGTTTACTGATTGAAAGATACTGCAATTTCTTTTTTTAATACAATTTTTCAATGATTTCCTTTAAATGCTTTGCAGCCGACCGGCTTTGCAGCACAGTAATTCATACACTATACTGTACAAAATCACCAGCGAGACTGGAATGATGTATTCATAGAAGGCACCATCATGCTTATTACATTACCAGAGAACTCAAATACAGTCAAGACAAATTCCACTGTACAATGCGTTTCCGAGGGGGCAGGGGGAGGAGGAGTGTGTGGAGCAGCCATCCCTGCACTGAAGAGGGGCGGGTAGAAAAACCTGGCGTGAGCTATCAAACTGGTTGCGTACTCAGGGCTACGACTTTGAAACTCTGGGTCCTGTTCAGGTTACAGCTAAATGGATTCCTTCTGGAATTAACTCGTAGTCTCAGTAAGGTTTGGGTGTGTACAGGTGTTGGTCACAGCAAGCAGATCAGATGCCCGCATCGTTTCACAAGCTATTCTGTCTGAGTAAGAGGATGAAGGGTTTTTTTCCTCCGATGCCTCCTGCAGATGTCAATAGAAATGAGTTCAGAGTACCCATTAGTGCATTCTGATGAGTGCGTAAACACGAGTTTGTCTGGAGCCAAGTGTTCTAAGAAGGAACAACAGAAAAGGCAAGCTTCTCCAATTGCACAAATTGCACTATTTGTGTTTCCCACAGTAATAGGCAGAAACAGTAACACTCACACAAAATGTGCAGCAGAGGGTTTTTGACTGAAAGGACCTGAATTCTATTGGGCATGTCCTTTAGTTCACTTTTGTTGCAGATAGGTAACCGGTCTGGTTTTCTTTTCTTTTCTCTCTCTTTTTTTTTTTTTTTTTTCAGTCCTCAATTCTCCAAGTCTACATTTATAAATTAACAGTGTGACTCCTGTTGTGAAACTGGGGAAAGAACGTCCACCTCAATTTAAACTGGAAACCAAAGGATGCTTTCACATCAAAGAAATGATCAGAAGGGCTGTGTCACATTCCAAAGCCAAAAAAAAAAATTAACAAGAATGCAAACACGATGGATAATGTACCACTGCCAAGACTGTCTGCCCACAGTGGAGATCTCAGCGACGTTGTCCAGTGAAACGGCCTTCCATCTGCCCGGTTCCCCGTCCGGAGCCCAGTTTCTGTGCCATGCCACCTCTGGGAGGGGGTCCTCTTCCGTCGCGGTCCCGCATCATGCCACCGCCCACGATGCCGCGGGGACCCCCGGGGCCTCTCTCATTGCGACGGATATCCCTACGGTCGTCGCCTCCGCCCCGCGTCTCTCTCTCACGAGCGGCTCTTGTTTTTTTCTCTTCCACGTTCAAGCGCACCTCGCCCCGGAACATTATGGGCTTACAGGGAAAAGGTTTCAAGGCACACGTTAGTCACCGGCTCACAGAGTGTGTTCACACAAGGCACATGAAAACACGGCGGCGCTGCACGCCTCAGCCAAGGACAAACAGGGGCTGCTGAGGGCTCCCCACAGCACACAGCCTTACCCCAGAGGGCTACGGTCTCTGGAACAGCATTTTTAAATTCATTTGGCATGCAAGGAACTAAAATGTGTTTCTCCAGCAAGGGCAGGGCTGTCTTTAGCCTCTTCACTGCTGGCTATAACCTTGCTCCCGTTTCTCAGCCCCAGGATGCAGAATGCAGAGATCCAGGCCATGCCCTTCAAATGGTTACGCACTCAACTTTCTGCTTAAAAGGATCTCTATGAGCAAGCATTAAGCTCCACGTGCAGAGGTAAAACACCTGAATTTGGTGTGACGTGGTTTGAGAACACTGGCACAGCTTTCGTAGGCTACAGAATGCTCCTGACAGAATGGCTGTGCCAAAACCAGGCTTTTCTTACACTGTTGTTTATGAATGAACGCTAGAAACAACAGCAAGGCAAACTGGGCTGGCCCACGCTACTCGGGGTTTAAGGCATCCAATCCCAATACTTACTTTTGCAACTAAAATTCGCTGGACCGGCTCAGAATCGTCAAATACCACGAAACCAAAATTAGGCAGTTTTCCTCCCACTCCTTTAGTATTTATGCGAAGTTCTACCACGTTTCCGAAGCCTGGGGAAACACAAGGGAAAAGCCACGTTATCAAACACCACAGGGCCAGCTCTGCCACCCCCTGCTTGTTCCAGACACCACCTGGAGTGTTACATCGTGTGAAAGTTCCCCTGCCTGGCCCTAAGTGAACACTACGTGACTTTTCAACACGGTTTTTCTTCTCAGTCCCCGCAGCTGAAATGGCTACTTACTCATGAAGAACTCTTTCAGCTCACTCTCATCGATATCGTGCGGCAAGTTCCCAACGAAGAGCTGGTGGCTGTCAGGATAGCGAATTATTCGACGATTATCCGACTCGTTCTGTTGGCCCTAAGTGAACGCTACGTGACTTTTCAACACGGTTTTTCTTCTTAGTCTCTGCAGCTGAAACAGCTACTTACTCATGAAGAACTCTTTCAGCTCACTCTCATCGATATCGTGCGGCAAGTTCCCAACGAAGAGCTGGTGGCTGTCAGGATAGCGAATTATTCGACGATTATCCGACTCGTTCTGTTCCATGTCCCCTCGCCCTGTCGTCGAGAGAAAGAGGGAGGCAGAGCCACCCAGGTTAGAAGACACTCTCATCGATATCGTGCGGCAAGTTCCCAACGAAGAGCTGGTGGCTGTCAGGATAGCGAATTATTCGACGATTATCCGACTCGTTCTGTTCCATGTCCCCTCGCCCTGTCGTCGAGAGAGAAAGGCAGAGCCACCCAGGTTAGAAGATGTGTGTGGAGTCAGATGAAGACATCTACAAACAGCACCAAGCACCTTCACTCCTAACATTTCGGTACCTTCAGCTCCCGAGCAGGTGACACCGTGGGGAGGACACTATCCTCCTCTTTACATAGTGCTGACAATTTTGTGGTAATACCACAAAGCATTTTTGTCTGGTTTCCCTGCTTAGGGTAAATAAATCGGTGTTACCTAAGACATCTGGCATACCGGGCACGTTTGTTTAACAGGTGGTTGTTTTATCTCAAATCCTTACACTGAAGAGGAGCTCACTACCCATTAAAACATACTTTTAAAAAGATTTGGGTTTAAGTCACCTTTTCATCAGTTCCTCAGCACAACAAGAGTATACTTTGGCACTCAGATTAAAAAGAGTGTTGGCCAATCACCTCTCCTAGCTTTCCTCTTACACCTTTTTGTCCCAAATACTAGTGAGAGTTGCTCACATTCTCTCCAGCTCAACCAAAGCCCACTCAGCAGCTTGCCTGATGAAATCCTTCCCGGTATCTCCCTACCAAAACACCACCTGCCTCACAGTGTGACAGCAGCACACTGTTACCCCTTTTGTACCCCTAGTATTACAGTGTAGGTATGTACCCCTTTCTCTCCCCATTCACAGCCAGCTTCCTAGCTCGTTTGGAAGGTTTCATTAAGCAGATAAAGTCTCCCTGACCTCCTCTGAAAATAACACCATGGGGCTGCAGCTCTACCATTTGGTCAAGTGAAATTTCAACTTTTCCTCCCCTGCCTGTGCTACCCCCAGTGTCAGACCAGCTCTGTCACACATTTCCTGTGTGACTTGTGTTACATTCAAGGTAGCAGAAATGCAGATCTGCAACTGTATTTAGCCACAAGCTGCTGCTCTTGCTTCTGCTGCAGATGTCATGTTAACAAACCCAGAAACGTTAACGGGTAACACATGTCATGGCTCTTTCTCGGTGCCTTAAATCCTTTCAGTGTCAGTGTTGTCCCCAAGCGAAGATGCACTTGCAGTGACCAAAGCCAAGAGCACTTTTAAGCCCAATTGGTACCACAGCTTGGCATGAACTTACTGAACACCCTCCTCAGAGCCAGTTTTAGCTGGAGCTGGTTCTGTGAGACTTCACCCGTTCTGTTGGCAGTGCTCTGCCAGCCTTACACCACCCCTCCAGGACAATCACAAATACCACCCCTTAGAACTCGTGACTTATTTCCACACTCGGGGAAAACAACAGCCTGATGAGCACCCCGTAACCCCCCCCTGTGACCAGCCAGCCTTTGCCCAGCACCACGTGGAGGTTTGCCAGGTGACTGGGCTGGACTGGTGGATCCCACTCCGGAGGCACTGAACACCCTCCTCAGAGCCAGTTTTAGCTGGAGCTGGTTCTGTGAGACTTCACCCGTTCTGTTGGCAGTGCTCTGCCAGCCTTACACCACCCCTCCAGGACAATCACAAATACCACCCCTTAGAACTCGTGACTTATTTCCACACTCGGGGAAAACAACAGCCTGATGAGCACCCCGTAACCCCCCCCTGTGACCAGCCAGCCTTTGCCCAGCACCACGTGGAGGTTTGCCAGGTGACTGGGCTGGACTGGTGGATCCCACTCCGGAGGCTTTCACCTCCCAGCACCACTCCTGGGGACAGCTGAGCAATGTGCGTGGTTTCTGCCCAGACCATCCTGCAGGTCTGGATGCTCTGTACCAGTGAGAAAAGGCAGGGAGCTGGCTGCTCATAAACTGGGACCAACAGGAGGCAGCCAAACCAAGAACGGTATCTTAGACAATTACACAAGATGGAAAAATATGTATGAAATTATTAACTGACTGATGCTGACACGTTGGGAAGGATTTCTTCCAAAAGCAAGAGCAACAACGGGCATTTATGAGCTCTCACTCCCACGGTTCAGCAAAATTAGAGGACATGGAAAAAACCATTGAGATTTCCATACCCGCTTTTCAGAACTGCACCAAGCCATGTGAAAAGTACTCAAGCACAAAAGCGAGTGGCCTGACTATTAAAAAACATTTCAACAAAACAGATGCTTGGAAATAATGCCCGTTCCTTGCAACAGCTCACCACCAGCTTGGACTGCAAATCATATTCCCCCGTTTCTAGGTGAAGGCAGTAGGGACAGACAGGTCACCATCAGCCAAAGACAACACAGGTACCTCTCATTAATGAGTCCCAAGCAGACACACAAGCTGATGATCCACGTTACCTGGTCGAGGTCCTCGGGGTGGAAAACCTGGTCTTTCCCTGGGACGCTGCTCACGTACACGAGGAGGCTGAGACTGAGCTTCAGGTTTAGTTTCAACTCTTGGCTAAAACGGGAGGAGAACATGCTAGCCTTACACCACCCCTCCAGGACAATCACAAATACCACCCCTTAGAACTCGTGACTTATTTCCACACTCGGGGAAAACAACAGCCTGATGAGCACCCCGTAACCCCCCCCTGTGACCAGCCAGCCTTTGCCCAGCACCACGTGGAGGTTTGCCAGGTGACTGGGCTGGACTGGTGGATCCCACTCCGGAGGCTTTCACCTCCCAGCACCACTCCTGGGGACAGCTGAGCAATGTGCGTGGTTTCTGCCCAGACCATCCTGCAGGTCTGGATGCTCTGTACCAGTGAGAAAAGGCAGGGAGCTGGCTGCTCATAAACTGGGACCAACAGGAGGCAGCCAAACCAAGAACGGTATCTTAGACAATTACACAAGATGGAAAAATATGTATAAAATTATTAACTGACTGATGCTGACATGTTGGGAAGGATTTCTTCCAAAAGAAAGAGCAACAACAGGCATTTATGAGCTCTTGGTCCCACAGTTCAGCAAAATTAGAGGACATGGAAAAAAACATTGAGATTTCCATACCCACTTTTCAGAACTGCACCAAGCCATGTGAAAAGTACTCAAGCACAAAAGCGAGTGGCCTGACTATGAAAAAACATTTCAACAAAACAGATGCTTGGAAATAATGCCCGTTCCTTGCAACAGCTCACCACCAGCTTGGACTGCAAATCATATTCCCCCGTTTCTAGGTGAAGGCAGTAGGGACAGACAGGTCACCATCAGCCAAAGACAACACAGGTACCTCTCATTAATGAGTCCCAAGCAGACACACAAGCTGATGATCCACGTTACCTGGTCGAGGTCCTCGGGGTGGAAAACCTGGTCTTTCCCTGGGACGCTGCTCACGTACACGAGGAGGCTGAGACTGAGCTTCAGGTTTAGTTTCAACTCTTGGCTAAAACAGGAGGAGAACATGGATTATTGAACACCGGCCCAGTAAAAAACCACCAACAACCAAAACTCACCAAACCAAAAAGCCCCACAACACGAGACACAGATAAGTGGCATGCACAAAACGAACTCCAGAAGGTACACATCCATGGCAATGTGTTTGGGAATACTTGTTTTTCACCCCTATAAATCCCTCTGTACCAATCCAGGACTGCAGCGTTCAGTATCTCTGCTCCAAGGTGCAAAGCAAACACCCCTCAATCAGAGCGTCTCCCCAAAACATGGCTAAAGTGAATTTTCCATGTTTGACCAGGCATCGAGACCCCAATACTCCATTACTCCAGAATTCCTCAGCCTGACTGAAAACCCCACGTAGATCAAACAAAGCTTCCTCACGCCAAGCTCAAACTTCACGGGTTAGGAGGCACTCTGAGATGGACACAAAGAGATGGGCAAATGACCTCTTCTGTCTGAGTCCCTGAGGGATTCTTTTCCTCGAGTGCAGAACAACTATAAGGAAACTTAGAAGAAAAGGAGAGGAGAACAAAACAAAAGCCCTCAGAAGCATTGTAAGCATTTCTGATACAATAAAGCCACCTGAAACGACAATTTCTACAGACTACCCACTGAGGATATTCTGCAGCCTTCCTGATGTCAAGACCACGATGCTCAAAGTACACCCTTCCTATTTTTAGAGACTAGAACATCTATTCCATTTTTTTGCAAGCAAAAAATGCTTTTAAAGAGAATTTGAGAAAAGAGACATAATAATAAAAAAATATTTCTATGCAGCCTGTTGGTTACTGCAGCGATTTCCAGCATTTTTTACATTCCATTTTCTGTACAACATTCCAGCAGCTGCTGCTGTGTGGGGTTCTTATCTTAGACAAAATGATCCTTAGGAGTGTAGAGAGGAACACTGGCTTCTGAGGAAGATTAAACACAAGGACAACGGCTATAGGCCTGGGCTGCTGCGGAGAAGTAGTTTATGTTAAACACCTCCCTTATTTTCCTTTGAGGACTCAAGACAACTGACAGTTCCACCCAGAGAATACCTCTCAGGGGTAAAAAGACTGTGTTTTACACAAAACATCCAGGTGTTATGCACCAAATACATGTTTCAGCCCTCCTACCTCTTGTGCTCTACCCAGCTAGGCATTAGCTTGTCCTTCCAGCATTTCCAGGGCCGTTTATTCAATTCCAAGAATAAGCTAGAAAAATGAGCCTTCCTGTTCAATCCCTTTTCATCCTACTTCCTCACGGGTGACCGCAGCTCCCCTGCCATGTTTACTCATACATTGTCACTGCATTACAGATTACACCTCAAAAGCAAAACTCAATACACTGAGACCCCCATTTCTTAGGTACCTACAACTGTCTCAACCCTAGCAAACACCTGCCAAGTCACTGGTGTCCTTCTCTTAAATCCCGAGTCACAGTGTCCCAGTTAACTTTTACTGGCTTCCCTTGCATTTCACAGAACTTCTCCTCTGTCACACAAATACTCCCTGTGCACCCAAACAACAAACAGCTAATCTCATTAGCTGCTTCCTAATCAGCCCCATCCCGTTTTGCAGAGCAGACTGCCTCAGTGCTCTCTGGGCTGCCTCAAGAGGAAAGCACTTGTGCAAATTGTGCTCCCCAAAACACTGCAATTACCAGCAGCATCACAAGATGCCTACTAAGGGCTGCCATTTACAGCCCAAGCAGCGGCTAATTGCAACTCTCATTTCACAGAGAGCCCACAAAGTGGACTGAAAGGCACAGAAAAAGGATTTCAACAGAAAATGACTAAAGGAGCACTCAGCCCAGGAACCAAGTATGCCACAAACCCGAGCCTAAGGGAGCTTTGAGAACAATTAAGGAAAAGGTGACATTGTCTCTTCTCTTCAGGAGCTCACATGGGGAGTGAAAGGGACCTCTTTCTGCTACAGCAATGCTACTGGCAACGACAGCAAAACCTCACCAGCTTTGGCACTGAACAGCCCTCTGAAACAGAGGAGGATGGGACAGAAAGTGCAAGAGAAGAGGTGGCTCCAAAGGCTGGTACAATTCTATTTTTGAGATCTTAACAAGGCTTAAAAGTGTCTCTAGAGCGAGATGCCTGCCAAAATCAAAACACGTGCATGCAAAGAACCGAACCACGCAAACAAACAACTAACCACACTTCACATGAAGCCGGTATATTGCCAGTTTATCAGTGTAGGCAGGCTGATTTCTCATCACCCACAAGAAGAAAAAGAGCAAGAAATGCTGACCTGTCTAACTCCACAGCTGTAAATAAATAGGAACTGAACTGGTTTATATCCCAAACAGCACGTGAGCGGTCCCCTGAGGGGCTCTGAGATCACACTACAGAGGCTGTATCTTTAATGTGAGAAGAGGGGGGGAAAACTGAAGTGATGCAGAGAAAGGCAGGAGAAGGGCAGTTACAGCTGCTGTGTAACATCCTGATGCTGGGGAGACCAGCCTCCCAAAGGAGCCACCCACTACTGCAATCTACTGCCCTCCTTCCCAGGCACAGCGGCTGGGATTAACGCATCCAAGAGAACGGGATCTGCAACCCCTGGTGGAAATCATTCAGGTGTCTTTTCTACCAGCTTCCTGTACACCAGGTGTGAAAGTGTGCAAGAGAAGGAGCTCAGGACTAACTAACTCTGCCTCCAGAAGAGCTGGGAGTTGAAGGTCTTGCCACTCCAGTATTGTTCACAAACTTCCCCACAGAATTACTTAAACGTGAAATCACAGCAAAAGTAATCTAAAAGGCAGAAAGCACGACAAGCTGCAGAGCGACATGGAAGAGTGTAAGAGGACATCTATAAGCTCTACTCTACTCTCTTGTACACGTAATTTAAGAAGATTTTTGCAGTCATATTACAAAAATCCACCTGCTCTACAGCAAATAAATCAAACCCAATGCTGGTTTCACATAAGGCAAATCTATTCTGTACTAGAAACCCACAGTTTTCCTGCTCAAATGGCATATACCTCGGTGCTCAAAGCCCTGTTGAAGCTGATGAAGACGGACAAGCTTCCCAGCCCATTACACAGCCAGTATCTGATTTCCCTGACAGCCCTGTCACACCAGAAGCAACACCATACAAGGTGGTGGTTTTTTGATGGGTTGTTTTGGGTTTTTTTCTGTTTTCTTTTTTAACATGCGTTTGGCTGAACAGCAATGCTAGACAGGTTCCTCTCTGCCAGTAAAAAACGGAGAAGAAACCAGTGCAGCCCCAGTGGCTGCAGTAACCCAGAGGCTCTACTGAAAATCGCAGCCTTTTAAAGAAGTCAGACATGAGCTACCCCGACACACAGCGCTTCGGTACAGCGTCAGCAGAGGAGGTTAAAGCACACATTTTGTATTTGGAGGGGTTTTGTACAGACGGAGGCAGCTGAATTGTGTCTCAGACTGTCTCACACCAGCTTGGCATGTGCAGGACGTGAGCTATCACCTGGTCAAACTTGCTTTCCTCTCTCCCCTCCTCACCCAGTCAGCTGAGGAATGGGAAGACAGTGTTGTCCTGGCAAGGACACGTGAATCCTTCCATTCCTCACACAGTCATAAGTTGGTACAGGGTTCTGTGACAAGTCAATTATAAGTGGATAATGAAATCCAGCAGAATTCTGTAGATATTAGCCTTACAAGGCAATCTTGCACCTTCTCAGAAACGGTGCTGGCAGTTTTTACTGCTAGGACACTTCCACCAATGAAATACCCCTTTCACACATGCTTTAGAAAACTACCTTTTTGTGAGGAGTTGGTTTTTTGCTTGGTTTTTCTCCCCCCACCCCTTGTAAACCAAACCATATCCCATTAAGATAGGTCAAAAAAATTTCAGTAGTGATTTTCTGTTTCCACACGAACAGATTTTAACGTCACCATCACCCAAAGTTACACCTGTAACGTGTACGTGCCTTCGCTTGCAACAAGAAGGTGAGCGCATTAACATTTAAGACACAATTAATTTGTGCAAATCAAGTCAAATAAATCGATCGGTTAATTTAAAAACGGAAGCAGTTTGCAGAAGTAATGAGACAATCCAAGGTGTTCACAGATGGGTTACCTGTGAGACTGGTGCTTTAACATGGGGTGGAATTCCAGAGGAAGAAACAGTACCACTAGGAGGCAGGTTTTTACTGGTCACTGAAGCCCAAGAGAAAGCCTGCAGGAAATGCAACAAACCTAGGCTACTAATCATGGCAAACCACTGACATTCCTACAGGGAAACTCGCCTGCTGAAAATACACTTTCGGTTCGTATCTGACTAATAAATAACTTTCGTGCAAGCATTATAAGAAAGATACAGGAGGATTTGCAGTCCTAGCCCTCCGTGGACTCCACGGCGTGGAGCGAGTGTGTGCTGTGCCCAGTGTCACACTGGAGTGAGCCCAGCTCCCCCAGCACCCCCAGAGCACTGCTTTCCGTGCGGTAACCAAACCTAGGACTGAACACACTCTGGTGTGGAGTGTCTTCTGCACAAAGAAAGAAAGTGGATGCCAGAAATTAGAAGTAAAAATGAAAAAGAGAAAAAGGACTGAAAAAATAAAAATAGGGGAGACACACCGGAGCTAGAAAATGGCCCCTCTCCAGCTTCCACCGGTTCCTCCCATCTCTCTCAAACTACCTGACTGGAACCAGACCAGATGATGCCGGGTGTGCAGGCTGGTTTTTGGCCAGGCATCCTGCCTCTAAGGGAGACAGTCACTGCCCCCACGCTGACTGTGGACCTATACTGCCAGCAATTTTGCAAGTGTCAATGCATTACGGTCTTTTTTTTGAGGAAGAGCAGTGGTTCCCATTGTAGGAGATTTTTGCTGGTGGTAGTTCGAGGTGTTTTCTCAACATACGTTAACTCCACATTTAAAAAGGTTTACACATGCATGAAACCACACACACACACTTTATAAGCAGAGCATTAAATTTACGATATGTGACTTGAGCGGCACTTAAAAATAACATTCTTTCCTTTTTTAGTGAGTGAAACTTTGCATTTTCACAAGTTCAAGTCTAGCTGTTCATACACCGTAACTCTGAAGAGAGGCACCAGTTTGGCCGCTCAAAAAGGCTAAGTTCAAAACTGAATCTTCTGGTTTTCCATCTGCACCTAGAAGCACAGATATGACTTTTAACTAACCTTTGGTGGTTCTTGCGGTAGTGAAACAGGTTCTACAGGAGGTGGAGATGGAGACTTCTCCTCCAGCTCCTCAAGGGTCTTTTCTTCTACTTCAGCTTTCAGCTCCTCGGTTTTGGTTTCAGATTCCAATTCCGGCTCAGGCTCATGAGACGATTCCTCTAGTGCCTCCTCTATCCCATTGCTACAATAATCAAATGCAGTTTATGCAGCTTATTAATTGCTTTGTATTCTATGACTTTCTATAAGCTACATCATGGTAACGGCTGGTATTGACAAGATCATTCTGTTGCCAGTTGGTACCATATGGTACCTACATACAGAACACAGTGAGAAGTTCAGCCATACCCTGAAGTTGCACACAAAGCCAGATTTTACTTCTGCTGAAGCAAAGATATGTTTTACAATTCTCTGCAGAGAATCTGAAAATCCCACAGACGTATAAACCCTTTAAGGAACCGGTGTTAAACTCAGGACCTGCTGCTCCTAACAGAATAGAAGCACAGTGAGAGACCGATGCAAGATTAGGCTTATACACATAAATGAAGCCAATTTTGTAATGAAACCTGCAGTGTATTTAAACAACTGCCATACAAGTTTCTTTCCAAAGGAGTCATAAGTTTCAATTACTGATTATCACATACAACTTCCTCTGTGCGTTTGCAATGTAAGGGATCTGAGGGTCTTCACTCCATTAAGTGTGTACGTAAACATGGTTGGTACCTTTTCACCCCACATTTGAAACCAGAAGTGACAATAATGTAAGAAAGACTGTCCCTTCCTTTCTCCCTCCAAGAAGGAAGGTTTCAAAATAAGACAATGTTCACATAACACAGATCCATATTAAGTTAAGTGTAGTTTCCTAAACTACCTGTTAAATCATGTCCAGAATCCAAAGCCAAAGGAATTTTGTTGTTTTTATTAAAAAAGCAACTTTATATAATAAAACGGGCTTCTTACGTTACAGGATGGTTTTCATAGTAAGTACTGCTTGCATTCTCTTGCACAGGTTCAGGTGATGGTTGTCTTTCCTCCTGCTCCTCTTCCACCTCTTCCTCAGACTCTGATACAAAAAGAAAACCTTCCTTAAATATCTCTGCAAGCATACACAAGCCGCATTAAAATAAAAGCATATTAAACGAGTAGTAATCAAAATAAAGCTTTATCAACAAAATAAGGCAAAATCAGCTGCAAGAAAAGGCAGAATACCCTCCCACTCATTCGAGAGGCTTTGTTGCTTACTATTTTCACAAAGGGAGAAACCAGAGACATATTGCTGCCAGAAAGTTCTGGGAAGAGAGTCCGAGGGACTTTTCAAGCAGCAGATGCTTTTCATATGGTGGCAGTAAAAGAGAAAGATTGCATTATTAGCTCATAAATCTCAGTACCTAAAACTAAGAAGATTAACCTCAAATACATGGATGATTGCCTAAGATGCTTTGTTCCACAGAACTGAGTTGAAAAAAATTCCAGACATTACCCAGTGAACACATGTACATACATCCTAGAGGTATGATTTGCTCTGATTTGCTTTGCCTCAGCGAATAGAGGGGAAAAACCCACCCAGGTCAAGTTCAGCCCCTGAATAGAAATGAATTATTCAATGTGATGATGATGTCAAAGTAAACTACATGTTACATTTGAAAAGCCAATTAGATTCTTTTTCTTCAAATCACTTTTCCTAAAAATTTGACTGACCAGAGAAATCAAACCTACCTGATGCAACTAGCAGCAGCAAAAGCACTTCTGCCCATTATTTCCATCCTCTGCCAAGCCTCACCTACACTGAGCCAGCTCAGCCCTTCAAGGAGTAAGGTACTACTACAGGATCTTCATTTTACAGAATGTTTTGGACCAGCAGATAATTCCAGCAACAAAACGTACGCTCCCTGCCTCACCCCTCCCCAGTTACTCTGTTCCATGAGAATGCAATACGGTTCCTGTCTCTCCATCCCCTCTAGACACTTCTGAAAGCTCTGCACACATCCTAGGGGAACAAGACAAACTCAAATGTACAGTTCTTCTCACCTTCATCAAGTTCTCCTTCTGAATCCCCAAATACTTCATCTTCATACCTGAAGATATCATTATGGACATAGAACTTGTTCGGAACAGAACCCTGTAGAAGAGCAACGTGCATTTTTTTTTTGCATATACGAGATATTAAGCAGTCAACAAGAAGGATGGATCAGATATAAGCTTTGGGGTACAGAGCAACATTTTGCAATAGCACCATTTCATTAAGCTATTTTCCAAGCGGTACCTCTTCTCTAAGCAAACACTTGCACAGTAACTTCTGCCCAACTGAAAAAGTTTCAAGCAGAAAAAAGTCATGGCAATCATAGGTCCTAACTAAAATAAAGTGCCTCAGTTTCACCATGGAATTTGAATTTTCCCTATTACAAAAGCTTTATTTTAAAAAATAGAATGAACTTTGACAGGGTGACTGTATGCCTAGACCACTGCATAGGGAAACAACAAAGAAATTCAACACGACTCTAAAACATTAATCATCAACCACACCATAGTTTGTGATGAAGTTGGGGGAAACAAGTAGAAAGGACACGAGACACCCTTTACCCTTACACAGCTCTGCTCTCACTAAGAGCTACACCTGAGCAGTAACTTGTGCAGCATCAGCCATGCTCACATTTGCCAGCAGACTTGAAGAAAGCACAGAACTACACTAAGGACTTGGAACTGCAGAGCTCAACATTTTTTTTATTTATTTGTGTCAGTGGCAGCTCCCAAACGCAAGCTCTGGTTTGGTTTGGATTACTGCTGCAATACTTGAAGAACATCAACCAGCTCATGACGGGCCCAATACACTCGTTTTTCTGCACTCACATACTGTGACACACTTGGTGATAGCCCCCGGGCGCAGCTCTAAAAGCCACATCACATCTTTTACCCCAGTAGGACAAATTGTAGCTACAAGTCAGGTTTCCATCACTGTTATTTGAAGCTAAAGAGAGTCTCATGTATACTTACTTCTGGAGCAAGCACAAAGGTCTGCATGAACTTCCTCATCGGCTGCCCGTTGTTGGACAGCTCTCCCATCACTTGCACAACCACCCCATCGCTCAGGGTGGCGTGAGCATCCACGTGACGGATCTTGGTGTGGCACTCGCTGAATTGCAACGACATCACCTTCTTGTGTATCTCCTGGAAATAAAGGAGTTACACTGAGATTCGTACAGAGCTTCACACCTTTGAAATACCCAAGTCTGAACTAACCCCAAAACCCACCCCACTGAAGCTCAAAAGGCAAATACAGGAACAACCAGTGTCTTTCACCGAGAACAGCCTGCCTGAGCTCATCTAGCTTTTATTCTGAAGTTTTCCTCCAGGATTCTAGTACTTCTCACAGTAGTCAAATAGCAATCAACTTGCTATCCAATTTTTCGAGCTGTGTTACAACATATGACCTATTTTTTTAAAGTGCCTGTGAGAGGGGCAGGGTTTACCTTGTGTTTTAAAAAAAAACCCCAAGCATTACCCCCCTCAAACAAAAAAATCCAACCCTCTACACATCCACAAAGTACCCAAACATCACAGGACTGGGTAACATCTGCACTGCCAAGATTTTTGTGCTATCAAACCAAGTTCTGCTGGTGAAAGGGGAAGAAACCACACCTGCCCTGGGCTAAAAGCTACATTGCTCAAAGATGCAGCCACATGAAGAGATGCCCCTGGGGTGACAGACATTATTCTGATAAAGAGCTACAACCAAAACGAAAACTTGTGTTTCCTGGACTTTGCTTTGTCAAAAGCGAAATATTTTCTGCAGTCCGGATGCAAAGCTGATGTATCAAACACAACTCCCAGTAAAAGCAGCAACAATCAAATAAAAAAATTCAAGCCAACAAATTCCTATCTGTCTCCGAGCAGGAGGCAGTACCACAATACGTTATTTACCAGATAAAAAAGTCAAAGTAGTTGGTAAAGAAAAAGACTGATTTATACAGTAAATTCTGACTATTAATGAGGACTACAGGACCAATTTTGATACGCACAGCTTGACCATACACTGCTTCTTGCGGCTTCCCACTGGCATCCAGTCCTCCATGGACGTAAGAAGAATTCCTTCCATAAAACCTGACAGTGAAGAGATGTAAACGTAAAGGTCAGAGCCATGAAAAAACAGAACCAAACCCAACAAGTATTTTAACCAAAAGTTGAAGAACTCAATGCACCAGGAATTTCAGCACAAACAGAAAGTCAAGGTATATTTTCCACTTCCCAGACTCCAAGAATACAGGAACAAACAAGCTTATTATTGAGTATTCCAGTTTGCCCAAGATACATAGCAAGCTCCTAAATCAACCTCAACCTTCCACTTGCTTCCTTCAAGCATTTGTCACGTGCTCTATAAGCTGGCAGTAAAAATCCAAACCAGAATTTACGACTGTTGTAGGCTCAAAACTGGAAACTGGAATGAAGGTGCAAAAGATCTCTGAAATATAAGAATATTGGAAGCAAGTATACTTACATTACATATAAAAAACATGAGCTTTTTAAGTCCAGTCCAGAAGCTGAGTCAAGAAAGGGTCAACTGTGGTTTTGGTCTTGTCAACAGCAGAAATCTCTTGACCACTCCGAAAAACCAAAACCCTAAGATCCTACTAGACCTACAAACTCTTTCCGGTTCTACTTTCCTCTACTATTTCTACTGAAAATACCAACCCAAGATTTTAACTCCCATGACTATGTCCATTAAAAACTCCAGGAAATATTAGATTGTTTTCTTTGGTACCAACTGGGTAACGATGTTTTTGGGCATGGTCCAGCAGTTCCTAGCAGCAAGGAAAAACCAAAGTTCAGTGGAAGCAGTGCACAAGCAGAAAGAACCATCTCTTCATGCTCAAATGCCAAAGAAAGCCCTCTGACAGTCAGCAGATCTTACTAAGTGCTTTCACAGGGGATCCAAGAGTTGTAACTCACTTTTAAGGAACTGTTCAAACTCTTTGAGAGGCAGACAACCTAACAAGTGGGAACTGCAGACCAGGAAAGGCGTACACATTAAGTTCCCAGTTACATGGAATTGCAGATTTTCTGTTAAGGGGCGAGTAGAGCCACACAAATTCATCTCAAGGGCAACTACACTGAGTACCACCCATTCAGAGAGCAAACTGATCTCTGCTTACCTCTAACCCCTGGATAAGCTCTGGATAATGACTAGTGACAGGATACTCTGTGCTCTTCTCAAGCTTTCAGTAGGATAAACCAATACCTTTAACACTTGCTGTCCAAACTCCCTTACTGCTGGAGGAAGGCAAACGTCAAGCACCAGGAAGCCATGAAAACCAATATCTTTCTGTGGCAGCAAGCAAGCTGCTGTTCAGACTAACAGCAAGAGAAAGAGATGCTCAGAAGAGCATCACTCATAAACAAGGTGGGGACAAAGACCAGAAAGGCAAATGCCCTCCAGATCCGAGTCTGACTAGAAAAAAGTAGCCACCTCAGCAGCCCCCAAAAGGGACAGCAGTGGCAGAGACTAAAGCTGGCTAGAAGACATTTCACACCAGCAGCTCAAGAATCGGCTACAATTCAACCAAACCAGATCAAAACCTCTAGGACACTTCTGTGCAGAGGTATGTAAGAGAAATTTCACAGATGCTGTTGTGAGTGACACATGCCAACTCTAAAGTGAACAGAGAACATCTGTGAGCACAGAGTATCACCTGTACCAGGGGAGTGTATCTTGTATCCTCCCAGCTCCCCTGACCTCAGCAGGGCCGTTCCAGGAGACACATTAAATGCAGGGTTATCAACAGCCAGTCCACTTTAAAAAGGAAGAAAAATTTCCTCAAGAAGGCATACCCTATGGACAATTCCCCAATCCCACTCAATGTACCAGCCATACAGCATAATTTGGAAAGCTTGCAATTTAGAGGGGTGAGAGTAGTATCTAGCTGCTCCTCTAAAGCACTAAAGTTGTCTTCAACAGGCTAAATGTCTCTGCAGGCACCATTTTTCCTCACATGGGCACTTCTGCCAATCTCCTATCACCCCTATCAGGAAACATCAGTCTACATCCCAAATGTAGTCCACTGGTGCCCTAATGCTCCCGTGGTGTGTGCTAACATTGAGCCAATGGAAGTCATGTTGCCATCTGATGGGAAGCCTGGAAGAGCTGGCTGCTCTCCTCTGACTGAGCAGGGAGGGAGGGAAAATACACCAACAGCATTTTGCTTCTTAAATCAAAACACACACCCCCCTTCCGAATCCTGCCACGGTTACAGTCACTATCATGACAGGTAAACGCTCTGACAAGCAAAATCAAAGACTATTTTCAACACCAAGTTTGAGGCATGGGTGATTTACCCCAATGTACAATTTAGCTGCCATAGAAAATAAATGTTACAAAAGGAAAAGGCAATCTCACTGTAGAACTGCTATAATTCTCCCTCTGCTGTTGGTACTAAGCTGTGAGGCACAGCCTAATCATCCCTTATAAACTCTTCTCCGACTCTTTGTTTATGCAAGCAATTTCTGCATTTCAGAGCAAAATGACAGCACACTTCACAGGAAACTTCTCTTACTAACTCGGGCTTTTCTTATCATTCAAAAATAACCCTGCTGTTCCAATACCAAGACTCCCATTTGCTCACAACCTAACTGGTGCCTTCAAACACTGGCACAGTCGCACCCTTTGAAGTCTCTGTGAAGCAGCAGAGCTGCCTGACCTTTACAGGCAGGGGATAGTTATGGATGTTGACAAGAAGCTGACAGCTGCCAGAAATGCCCAAGAGGTGCCTCTGCAGGAAGGGGTCCTTTCCCAGGCCACCCAGGGAGAACACCTCAGCATGACATGTACCCAAGGACCGCGGCTCTTGGGTCAGAGAGAGCTGTCACCTCACATGGACTTACTTGTCCAGTTGATCTCATCTGACTCATTTGTTGAAGTTTTGGAAGCGAGGAACAATTCTGCAATTGCTAAAAATGCTGCTTTCGACTTCTGTTAGATTGTTAAAACATAGATTAGGAAAGCCTGGGATAGACTGCTTAGACACCTTAAAAATAGATTTAAACACAGAGAACAACATAGGTCCACAGCAGATCAGTGATTTAGTAAAAATGATACCATTTGTTTTCCCTACCTCAAAGCTATAGATGAAAAGCAGCATTATTCAAAAGACTGAATTCTCAAGTAAGCAACTGAGAGCTCTAATTTGTGCTCAAACAGTCCAATTTTTCACCATCAACCTTATGTCAAGTCCTGAGATAAGACCAGCCCAAGCAGTGATTGCTTTTATTTTTTTTATATACTGGCAAAGCTACTTTCACGTTTATTTATTCCAAGTCCATGCTGCTCTACGTGCAAACGTGGAAACACAAAATCTTAAGTGACAAGTTTTATGGAGTCAATAAAAAACAGAAAAAGAAAAAAAAGCAGGGGAAAAAAAAAACACAAAAAAGAAGGAAGAAACACATTCAGAGTACCACTTAAATAGTGGACACAGCTGAAAAAGAATCTACTGTATTTTCCACCTACCTTGTCCAGGCCATGACACATTTAAATCCCCAATCACAACCTGGATAAAAACTTCTCAGAGGCAACGCAAAATATGGTATCCTGAATTAAATAGCATGCTTATCTTAGGTACTAAATGCAAGTGCTTCCTCTGCCATTTTCTCTCCTTTTCTGTCTTTTCAGAGAACTATTTCTGGAATACATCCACATCACCGTTTTATCCCTGTTCCACACAGGAAATACCTCGATGACATGCCATACAGCTACATGATCAGATTTGCTTCTAGAGCCTGAGGAGTTTTCAGTAAGATGAAATAGTTTTCTGAGAGCCTAAAAGTCAGCCAGATCCATTTCCTCCCATACTCAGAAATGAATGCTTATCTGATTTATAACGAACAGTACAACCTTTTGTTCAAAAGCATGAGTCCCTTCGTGTGGGAGAGCGTTACCTGTGCAAGAAGTCAGGAGCTTTATTTAGCAGAGTGTAGTACTGTCGCACGAACTCCCGCCCTACGAGCAGGGGACTTGGCTTCTCCATCACCATTTCTTTGGTACTCAGTGTCAGATGCTGCAATTAAAAAGACTCACGTTAGTTTGAAGACAGCCCTACATATCACAACTTTCCCACAGAAGGATGAGTGTAATTATATTAGAATTGAAACAGTTACATGAATGGGAACTTAATTCACACAGAACTACTCCACCAGTTCAGGACACCCTTCTCCATTTCGAGTACATAAAAAGCTTTCAGTCAATCCATGTGTTACTTTGATCAACACCAATGTTGTGAAGCTATTATGTGGGCTGGATTGGCGTGCCCTAAAGACTGGGAAGGGAAACTGTTATGCCTCAGAGATGAGCGAAGCTTCAGGTGCTACTCCCCCAAGCTAATGGCATTTCACATTTGTCATAGAATAATTTAGATTGGAAAGGACTTCTGGGGGTTACCCGGTTCAACCCCAGGCACAAAGTGTGACCAGTTTCTAATAAGTTGCTCATTAAAGCAGGTTCTGAATAACATGTGATTTGCTAACATGTAAACAGAACATGCATTTGCAATTTGTGGCTGTGGGCTGTCATTTTATCATGCTGCACCTTGGAGAGGTATGGATCCACACCCTCCCACCAGGGAGTCGAAGGAAGGTGAACTCACTTAATGAACACCAGTGTCTGCAATCATGAGATTCCCTCCAGTTCCCAAAAAAGGTTCATTTACCTTCTCTCTCAAAAAACAAAGAGGTAGGCAAGGCAGCAGGCAAAACTCAAAATACAGGTTTTGAACTTGGGAGATAAGAAATCAGAAAACTTATTTTAGGATTATCCAACATTTTTATTATCACCTTCTGAGACTGTGAAACACAGAATTAGTTGTGTCCCATGGGAAGCCGCAGGGGAAGCCATTTTGATGACCAGACCCAACCCCAAACATCAAGAACACTAAGGGACATCAGAGGCTTGAGCCCTGTTCAAAGCAGGAATCTCCCAAGAAACAGAATCTGAGCAACCTGGGGATCTCCCTGACGTGACTCATACTACAGCAATGGGATGCACGGGGGAATTTTTCTTAGAAACCAACCGTAAAAGGACAAAGACCTCAGTTTCTACAGGTGAGACGACTCTTTTTCTTGTTCCCCTGTCCCACAAGCAGATGATGAAAACAGAATTGGTGATATGATGTTCACCATAAGCACTTGTGAGATACACAAGCATGGAGCCTCATCACATTTTTTTAAAAGAACCTATTGAAAAGCAGATCATAGCCAGCACACACGCTTATGAATACAGCAATAAGCAAAGTACATATGTTAACAAATTGCTGGCGTACCACAAGGAACACTGAAAATGCCTCTGGGTACAAAACATAATAGCCTGTGACAAGTCATTAGACTGCATAGATCTGTATCACACTAGATCTTTCCTTCACTGGAAGCTGTGCTATTTCAGGAAAGGCCAACAAAACCTTTCAGAAAAATCTGGGCAAGGTGAGCACACACTGATCACACACGGCCAGTCCCTCCCTAAGGACATGAAACAGGAGTTGGTTTACACACTCAAAGAGACGAGTACCATCCACCTCTGCCCATATCTCAAGTGACAGCACCACTGATCTACACCCCAGAATCACAGTATTTTACAGGATGCCTCAGCACAATTCTTCACCTGTCTCGGTATTATTTCCTTTTATTATCTCTTTAGAGATCTCAATAGGGGTAGCAGAAGCTTAATGAACTGTTCAGGTCTCCAAGCCATTAAAAGGCAGTAAAATAAAAATGCAGGTACTCCTTGCTATCAACATGGGTGCCATGAAACCAGGTTTTAAAAAGATTACAATCTCCATGTGTCCCAATTAGTATAGCATCTCCTTAAAGTCAAGGACCTGAGTCTTAGGAGGCTCCAGGGGTTTGGAGGTAAAGGCACCAGTGAAATATAAGCCAAAACCCAAGACATTGACATCAACAACTAAAGAGTCCAAATTTACAAAGAACAGCATCTCCATGTTTCACCAGGCACTAATGGAAAGCCCTCCCCTCCCCCTCTAGAAAAGCTATTTTTCCAGTTTTAATCAGTACAAACTCAAGAGTCAAGGAAGAGCAGCTAAGACAGGAGAATCTGAGAACTCTTCTCACTTGAATAAAACAAGCCACATTCTTAGGTCAGCCTGAGCCTTGGGAAAGTGTCTTAATGAGTACTTATTGCTGGAGGCACTTGGGTGTGTACCAGCAAGAAACAAAATACTGAAACCGAGATGGTAAACACCAGAAATCAAATAAATTTATCTACTATTTTCTTACAGTGCACCTGTTGCCCATGCACAGGTAATGCTGCCTACATCAAGCTGACAAAACAATTGACAAAATTTAATTTCCACCCCGTTCAGCACCTCCAGTTCCTGTGCTCCCAGGAAGACACATTTCCTAACAGACTTGCCGAGCTGGAGGACCCCTCAAAGGCAGAACCCCTTTCTTCCCAGACAAGGCTCACAGCCAAGGGACCCAGAGGGTCCCGACTGAGGGACCCGACTCCAGAACTGCAGGAACATGCACACACACCAGTGCAATACTTCTTGCACCTTCAGTTAGCACGATTCAAGTTGCTAACAACAACAACTTCAGCCTACAGCGGGACGGGACCAGCTTGTCACTGTTACCTCGAACAGAACAACCGAGTTCATATCTTGAGTTATTTCCACCTCCACTTCTTTCACAAAAACAATAGGAGAGTTAGCAAAGGAAGGAATTATTTGTTATTTGCATGCAAAGATAAGCAAATGAACAAAAGCAGAAAGGGTATTTTCCTCCGAAGAACAACCCCAAATGCAGCTGCAGAGTAGTGCTGAAATAAATAGTAGCATTCATGTAACTTCCCCAACTCCATTCTGCTAGGTTCAGGTACAAAATTACTGACTTTGCTTGGCTCTGCAAAAGCACCTTCTAATGGCCTGGGATAACACATGCCAGTTGTGACAATTAAAGCAAGAAGTTGGCCTTTGGAATGAGATGAAATTGTTAAGGGCTAAAAGGCTGAGATGTAGCTCACATTAGGGCAGCTGTGCTGAAGTACTTGGAAACAACTGCTACAATGATTTCTCAAGTCCACACTGAATTAATTGCGTGCAAATTCATTCAGCCTGTAATCATCTTTATACCTATCACTTCTTCAGCTAACTGAAAAAAAAGCCAACAAACCAAGCCACCAAACTATCACCCATCAGTCTGCACCGGTGGCAGCAGTGATTTGTCTCTAAAGAAGTGCTGAAGGCCACCACGCAGTGAGTAGTCAAAACGTCCACTGGCACACATCCTGCCTGATAAGCAGCTCTCGCATTAGAGAAGACTTTTTTCCCTAAAATATCTGTAAGCTTTCTCATTATTATTCCCCTAATCCTATAAAAAAAAAAAAAAAAAAGTGTGACTAGTTATCTGTGGCAAGGCATGAAGTTAACCGGAGGCGATGACTGAGCTACAGAACGGTGGTGGACATGCTCACACCGAGAGATCCAGAGAATCAACTCTGGCACAAAGCCTTGGGTTGTACCCAAAGAGGTAGCTCAAAGCCACCTCCATCCTGTTTCAAGACAGACCAACACCAGTGACGCTGCCTGGATGCCTCACCAATTCTACTTCAACAAGAAAAAGCCGGATCCAGTTCTGAAGGGAGCTCAAGAAAGTGTCATCTGAACTGGAAGGTAACCTCCATGAAGACAAACGTTTGAGGTTTGGGAGGGAGATGCAGGCCTCATCATTTGTTTTACTAAAAACTATATGCAAGTAAAATATCTTGTTTTATTGACAAGCAAATTTCCTTCTCTGAACAATTTGTCCACGACTAAAGGTACACAGGCATCAAGCTCTATTTTTACATAAAACTGCAACAGCCTGGCTTGTTCTTAAATCCAGAAGTCTGCAACCTGCATGCAAGCCACTGATCAGATCTGAATATACCACTTAAACTGAAAGTAAAATTTGGCAAAATGCTCTTGTGAATCAGAAAGACATTCCCCTCACAGCGAGGACACAAAGCAAAGCCACGAGGGACACTGTTCCACTTTCCATCACAGGAGCTGAGGGAAAACGGAAGGGAAGGGGTGAGAAGCTTTCACCATTTCAGACAGTTTCTCCTAAATCCAGATTATCACTTTTAAATTGCACTTCCTACTGCAGACAAGTAAATGATGCCTTAAAGTGTGTGCCTGATACTGTGATCCAGCAGAGTGACTCTGAGATGCCACTACTGCCACACAGTGTGTGCAGCCACACCTTGAATAAAGCTAAAAAGCCCAATGGCCACCGAGAGTCCAGCTGGCACAAGGCAGGGCGTCTGACACAGCCCTGCTCTGGCTGGTGGGGACACCATGGTGAAGGTAAATCAGCAGTGTCTGAAATGAAAACATACTGAAAGAGCGATCGAAAGTCCCAAACAAGGCAGTTCCGTACTGAAAGCACCTTCGCTGCCGTGCTCTGCGAGGTACGCGCTCAGAGCATCCTCCCTCTGCAGTAACGCCAGCAAACCTGAATAATCCACCAGAATCCCTTTACTTTATGATCTCCTTTACCTAATCCACTACAATCCGACCTGGCTGAGCCCCAAGGCACAGCATGCAGTTCTTTCAAATCAAGCTCTCCTGAAGGGCTGGCTTTGGGTTTTTTAGCAGGTGTTTTGCTTTGGTTGTTTTTTTTTTTTTTGAGAGGAGCTTAATAGCACCCTGTATTTTAGGCACATGACTACCATAGGAGACCATCTTCTGGGCAGTGAAGCTGCACCCTCCAGAAGAGCTCACCCGAATAGCAGTAACAATAGTGACTGCAGCCAATGGCACCACCCGTTCTGGGGAAGCCACTGCATCTGTCTCTCTCCCTGTCACCACCCAACGCCAGGTTCAGCGCCTTTCTTCTGGTACCTCATCAGATATACCCATTAGTGTGGCATATTCATCTTCTCACATGTTCCTTGACTTGCAACGCAGTTCTTCATTTATCAAATATTCTCAAAAGAAATGACATCCAGTGTCACAACTGCTACAGTAAGAAGGAAGACTCAAATTCAACACCGTGTGTTTCCTCAGCATATTTTCAGCACTGTAAAATGTTATTTAAGTCTGAGACTAGATGTATGATTTTAAACCTCAGTTCCAACAAGGAAAACATTTTATTCATAAGGATCCCAGACGATTACTGGTCAGCTCGTTCTGTCTTAAGTTATCACAAAAACCATTTCATTCTGCTAATGAAAAAATCATACAATATAGATCATAATTCCACACAGTGAGCCCACATCTGCCAATTACAACATTACAACGGTAAACAAAGATCTGGCTCTTACACCCAAGCTACCAGAGTCCCCAACAGGAAGGAATCCTTAAGAATGAAAAGGCTTTCCTAGGGCAGGTACGGCCCTGTGGGCATACTTACAATCACAATAAACACAGAATGCATCCTTAATGATAAATTAACTCCAGAAGCTAAAGCAATACCAGTTTGACAGTGGCTCAGATGCAGGTTGACAAGCCCTACACCCACTCAGAGCCATGCCAACCCCGCTACACTGCTTTCAGGAGTGGGTATACACACCAGTGCTTGCTCCTACGACCTCACATGAAGGACGTCACGGAGCAGGATGGCATCATTTCTTGTAAGTTGATCCCTGCTCTTTATTCTGCTACTGCTCCCCAGCTAAAAGTGTCCATAAGAGAAATGAAAAAAAAAAAAAAATAAAAGCCTTGAGATACCTGAGAAAGCAGAGAGTGCTCCATGCAAAAAAGAAATGCTCACTAAGAAAGGATATCTTGCCCCTCATGCTCTTCCATCCCACCACAGATCAACACTCAGGCTGTGTGTAAGTAGGCTACCTGCACAAGAACTGTGCAAGGAACAAAATAACTTACCCTATTTCCCAATGGATAAAAAAATACCTTGAGTATCTTTATACTTCCTTCTGTAGCAAAGCAGAACACTTGCACCCTGAACTTGAAATGCCTAGAACATATAAAGGGTTTGGGAATTGCCAGACCTACATGGAAGGCCACAATCACAAAACCTACGTGACTAAGTCTTTCTGGTTGAAATCAAACAATAATCTCACATTCTCTACCGTGTGAGTTCTTTCACGTAGCGGAGGCTGATGCAAAGCTCAAGCTCCAGGGTCACCCAATTAACCAAGGGATTTAAAAGCCCGGCGGTGGGGATGCTCCTGTGCCCCCGGGGGAGCGGCAATGACCTCTGCCTCAGGGGAGCCAAGGCCCGAGCCCAGCCGGGTGCGGAACGCGCGGAGCCGGGAGGAGATCCACTGGAGGAACCGGGATCTGCGGAATAAAAGGTGCTGGCGGCAACTTCAGCCATGTTAGGTGCGAGCACGGCGCGGCCCGGGTGGCGAGGCGAGGTCCGCAGAGCCGGGAGAGAGGCCGCAGCCGCCGCAGTCCCGGCCCGTGCGGGCAGAGCGGGGCTCGCCGGGCGGCGGACGCGGGGCCACGGCGGGTCCCGCAGTGCGAGCGCGGCGGC